AACCCTCAGAAAGCAAATGATGAGCTGCTGCTTCACATTGAGGTGGCATTTTCTGCTCTGTCAAGGCCACTTCACTAAAACCGCACAGCATCCAGCGGTCTTATCCACACCACACCTACCACTCTATAAGGTATTATTACCCTCACTTTATGCTGACAGCATACATGCCACTCATTTTTCTGTAACCTATCCAAGTTATAGTACAGCTTGCAAATCACCTCGGTCAGCTGGGCTAATCCAGCTATAAGCATGTCACCAACCACCTGAATATCACTGGTTTTTACCAGATAAGATGCAGAACTCAATGGCTGACTAATACAGCTGGGATGAAATTTTGTTGTATCTGTACTCACTAACACAACTACAGTGAGAGATGACCCAGGATTTGGTGGAGGCAATTCTGTCCCTCCGTTGCACACTCTAGATAGGTCAGGAAGAAAACATGCTTTTGCATTACAGAGGATGAAGATGTTCATACAGAAGAGCATAGATGCTCTTCTGTACCAGCACCTTTGTTGAGTCCAATAGGACACAGCTTTTGGTCAGAGCCAGCAGGGATGGCTCAGTGACCAGTGAGAGGCTGTACGAACCAAGAAACATCCCATGTTCTGCCCTGCCTCCATGCTACTTCTTGGATACATGGGAACAGCACATGGCAGTAACACCCCAATGGTGTCTGAAACACCCACAGTGACATGCAGATGTCTCGGCTACCCAAAGGGGCCAGGAAGATCCTCTTAGCATGAGGACATGCTTTGGTGTCATCTGCCTCCATAGCTGTGTCCTTACCTGGCCTGAGACATGAACCCATTGCTTCTGCTGCCTTCTTATCCCAAACTTGCTGGTTTATTTGTGTGACCAGTTCTCCAGGTGCAGAGAGACCTGCCTTATACTTCTCTCTCTCTTCGGTTGAGGCTGGGCAGTGGCTGACCCGGGACAAATCCACCCTTTCCTTGCTTTGGTCACAAAAAAGCCAACTGAGAACAAACCTTAAGGAATTTGCTGCCAACAGAAGGGTGCCAGGCTCCGGTATATATGCCAGTGAGCACACAACACACTTCTTGACTGTGTGCTGGGCCAGTGATTTTCCAGTAACTAAATAAAACAGACAGAAATGGCAATTCCCTGATTTTCATTGCCTTGTTTTCTCACTCCTTTTAGGCACACTTGGCTTGTTTTGTCAGGAACTGCCAAATAGCAAACGAGCTTGAGAACTTTGTCCCAAATGAACTCTGTAGCAGAAGAGCACATCAGGCTGTTGACCAAGGTCCTTCCCTTCTACATATCTGCATTAGCAGAGAGGGAAAAAAGGGCATCTATCTAAAAATAAAATTATCGAACGTTTAGGTGTTGCTATTTTCATCAGAGATTAATGAATGTTTTAAAGCTTCAGTTTGCTTGGTGCTTCTCAAAGAAAACATAGCACACTTGGGTGAAGGAAAAGCAGCTGTATTACCTACATAAAAGCTTCTAAATGTTGAGTGGCTGTTTGTAGTCTCTGGGCACAGACTGGCCCAGAAACAGTGGGAAGTGAAGAGCAATGGCTGTAGTTACGAACGTATACGTCAAGGTATGGAGGCAGAGAGGGAATGTAAATAGGAGCTGATTTCTTGGTCCCACTTTACCTGCAGTTGCACATCTAATGAAGGAGACTCAACCTTTAAGGGGTCTTGTAGTCCTTCTGGGAGAATCAAACTAAATAATGGACTAGTTTTCTTACTAAATGTAGTATGCAGATCAGACACAGGGGAGTCCACCTGTACTGCCCAGCCATAGGATCTGTCCAGGCTATGACCCTGCAAACAAATGCAATGGGATAGCATCAAATTTCCAGGTTTTTAAGTTTGGGGGTATCACCTGCTACTTCAGAAAATCCATGAAAAGGCATAGAAATCTACTAAAAATGGATGGGGAAGGAGGGATAACCTGAAATGACATAGCAAGATGGGTGGGACACACATTGTCAGGTGAGAAAGGGAAGTGGTAAGAATGACTGCTTGCTGCGGTGTCAGTGCCGTGGCAGAGGGCAAGCCAGAGAGATGCAGCAGCAAGAGGTGAGGTCAGGTCACACAAGAGGTGGGTGAAAAGCAGCATTGTCCAGGAGCCTGGATGGATGGAAGGAGCAGCGATGAAGAGAGAAATTAAATGTCGCGTGGGCAGAGGCTGTTGGGACTACCTGGCCATGGGCATGCCATAAGCAGAGTATGAAATGCTGGTACATTGCATGGAGGTGGGTGCTCCTTCCTTCCTACCCTTCAGGCTGGCCACAGGGAGCTTATGGAGCCCAAGGACTATGGCTGCAGATCCGGAAGGATGTGGTCAAGAGAAGCACAGTAATCTTGGACAAGTTGTCTGTCCTCAATGCTGGGAGACGGAAACACAGATTCAAGGGAAAAATTTACTGGCACTAAACAGTTATACCACCACAGGGGAGTTTGGTTTTCTCCTGTAAGGTAGGGGGATGAAGGCAGAAACAGCTTCACGTCCTCCTACAATGAACCCAGCTGGTGGCAGGGCAGCAGGCTGTCATGGCCAGAGGCCCAGGACACAATCAGACTCCACCTTTGCAATTTAGCTTTGCAAGGGTTTGTGTTCTCAGTTATAACACACCATTGACTGAGGTGCATGGAAATGTGGTGGTAGCACTGGGCTTGGCTACAGGGTCTCCCTGAAGGAGCAGGATAGCTGGTGACAGGGAGAAGTCCTGTGGTTGGCACCAAGACCAGAGGCCTCCTAAGCCTGACCCAGCCACCTGAAAGCCACACTTTACAAAGGAGATGGATAATTCACAATGAATCACGACATTATTTTATCTACACGTTTCACCTGACATTATTTCATCCTATCTAGCATCATTTGATCCACCTTCTAAATCCAAACTTCAATACGCAGTTACCTAAAAAAAGAAAAAATCCTCACACGTAAGAGTGTAGAAGCTAAGTTCAAAGCACAAAAATAGGTCAATATTAAGTCACACCCTGGCAATTAGAGGGAAAAATGAAGACAGTTAACTCAGAGCCACATGAAGCTTTATGCATTCAAAAACACCAATAGTGTTTTATTCACAAAAAATAAACAGCCTTGCTTTGAATGAGATTAACATTCACATGAGATGACATTTGCCATGATTATGTGAACCAGAAACACATTTTGCCCCAGCAGTATAGGAGGGTGTGTACAATCCTCATAGAGGCAACGAGACTCCCAGCTCCTCCCAAGCACCTGCATAGCCATTCCCACTGACCTGGCTTAAGTTTCTGCTGGTGTCGAGTTGATCTTTGGTTGTCCCTTCAATTAGTTTATTATTTTCTGGTTTAGCTTCTCTATCAATCCATCTTATTTAAACTAAATCCTCTACATATTTTTTTTAAGCTTTGCACTTTTTCCTAGGAGACTTTCTAGACTTCAGCCAGATGGGGCCTCTCTTCTTTCCCTTGGCTCTACTCACTGTGAGGAGAGTGAAAACCTGCTCTGTTCTCTTTGGACAGGTTTCCAGCACTTCTAGGATGGTTTATCTGGAAGGAACATTTCATATTTTTCCATGCTGCAACAGACACCATAGACAGAGATGCAAGTATCTTCACTGCTGAAGGAGAACCAAAACTTAGAAAATGCTCTCTCCATCCCACTTTTAGACTGAGACAGAAGACAGAGCTTGGGCACTCTCCACACCCTGCCATCCTTGACATCTCAAGAAGTTTTTGATCTCCAAGTTCTTTCTTTCACAGGACCACAACAGCCAGAAGGGACCTCCGGCACTCTCTGGTCCAGCACCTGGCCAGCTTGCCAGTTCATCAGCATTTTCTCCAGTCCAGAGTAAACTGTTCTCCCAAGGATGGAGATCCCACACTTCATTGGGGCCATTGGCCCCTGAATCACCCTCCCAGGCCCTTGCTGAGCAATCACCTGGAACTATGCTGAACCCTTTATCAAACAAATATTAGAGAAGGAGGCAGGGAGGGGACTGCGCCCACTCAGGTTGTCCTTTGGGCCCTGCTCAGCTGTGGCTCTCTCTGGACAGCTGGTTCTCCATGAAAGGTAGCGCTTGAGGTTGCCCACAGTGAATGCACAGACAGGCACTTAGAAAAAAAAATTTGCACTAACAATAACTTTTTTGAGATTATTCTTCCTCCTCCATCCTGGTCTTTTCCATCTCTTGCATGTAGGAAATTCTGCACCTGAGAGGAACTCAGGACTGTACAGGACTTCAACACCCTTTAACGCCCCATGCTAGAAGGGGCACGTGTAAGTGTGCCTGCCTGGTGGCTACTACTGATGGAAAACAAGCCGCCATTGTAAACACACACTTGACGGAATATCTGACCTTCCTTCTCCTGGCAAGCAATTGTCTTGCCCCAAGTATAAATACATTCTTTAGAAATACATAAATGCATAACTTAAAACCTGCTTTGACGCAGGCAGGACTCGCAAGGTAAGAAAACCACACTACGACCCCACGGGAGAGCTTATACATACACACAGTTTCATCTGGTTCCCTTGGTCAAGCCTTGTGTCCCTTGCACAAGTGCAATGAGAGTCAGCAGTTGTAGTTGAGTTTTGAGGCCGTGTCGCTGCTGTAGCACAGGTCTGTAGTGTTTATGGGTTTCTCATCACATTTAATGCTTTAACATTTGCTTTCAGGCAAAGCCTAATTCACAGAAAACAGCCAGTGCCCTTGACTTTAAGCGATGCTGGGTTTTGCCAGGCAATGTTATGACTTGTCAGGTGGCCCTGTCCTCCACCAGACATGACAATGACTTCTTGTTGATCCCTACTGCTCCCGCAGGACAGAGGTTATTTCCAGCGGGCTTCAGGACCCACATGCCACAGGGTGCAGATAGGAGAAGCCTTTCCAAAAAAGCAGCCTTGGCCTCATTTGGACAGGGCAATCACTGAGGCTGGAAAGCAGCTGAGGGATTCTGATGTATTTAGCACTCAAATAACAGTTGCCTCTATTAAAAATAGCAGTTCCCAAGGCTGGGCATGCCAGCCCATAGGGGTCAGGGGTAGTCCTGCCCTGGGCCAGCCCGGAGCAGTGCCGAACAGAGCTCGCTCAGGTCACTCTCATCATTCTCCTCTGGCTCGCTGCTGGAGTTGGAGGGGTTGCTGCTGGGCAAACTGTGGCCAGAACCTGTCCTCAGAGATGCTTGCCCCTTTGGGTCCGTGCTCAGCGCCAACGCATCCTGGAGGAACATGCTGCCTGCACCGGCAGGAGTTCTCTGGTAGTTTGGCTGGGAGAAATTCCTCTGGCTGAAAAACTGCCCCAGCAGAGATTTCTGGAGGGTTGTTTGCAGGCTTTCACAAGTCCTCTGCTTTGTGCTCAGCTGGGTGTAATGCAAATCCAACTGCAGGACCATGTCTGTCTGGAAGGGGAGAACAAAGGATGCAAAGTGAATCAGAAACTAAAACTTGAAGCAGAGTTTTTTCATTGTTGCCGCTGTCAACAGAAATGACAGACTTGGTTGGCTGTTCTGCAGGCTCACAGCCCCATGCCGTGGCATGATAGAGCAATGCTACTGCCAGAGAAAATGAGCTGTTACGTACGCTCATGACGTTTGTGGGCCTCAGCCATGGTTTCTGGATTTCAGGACTTCTGAAATCAGGCCACCTCACTTGAGATCTCATCAGCCCAGTCAGGGCACTGCCACTAAGACCATCACCCCCAGGATGCTGGCACAGGGGAAGAGGAGGGGAGAGGGACTGCACCCATGTGAGGAATGGCACAACATCCGTCCTGGCCATGGCACGGGACTGCTGCACATGTGAGACAAAGCATGCAAAGGAAGGGATATGAACCGCTTTAATAAAACCCCTATTGCCCAGTAAAAGCCAACAGTTTTAAACAGCAGTGCTCTGCAGGGATCCATTCGCAGCCTAGCACTATTTTAGATTTTTACAAAAGGTGGTGAAGAAATCAGAAAATAACCATGTTCATGGCAGCCAAATCCCTGAACGTGAACCCCGAGCACTGGGCTGTGCCCGAGATGCCTGGTTGTACAAAGTACAGAGATGTATAATGGAGGAAGAAGATTTTGGCAGGCAACGTGGGGTCCAGGTCTTATGTCTCCACTTAAAAGCAATGCTGAATGCTTGGGCAGGGTTCAGAAAAGAGCTCCAGGAACAATCAAGGACTGAAAGAACTGCCATATGCTGAGGCATGTCATGCACTCAGCAAACAGAGTTTGTTGTAGGCAGATCCAGGCAGCAGCTTGAGAGCAATGTTTGGTGTGAGCCTGCATGGAGCAGAGCAGATAAGCAGCTGGCAAGATCCACTGGCTGGGTGTTAGAGGGGGAAAAGAAAAAATCAAATGAGAAACAAGGTGCACACTGTTATTTGGGGAGACATAATCTGCTCAGGAGACAAGCCAGAGCACTCTGCCTCTCTCGTGGTCATTAAATAGTCTGAGGGTCTTTTGAAGTTTGCCAAAGAGGTGTAGCTTGGATCAGGCTTGGTAGTGTCACCCTGATGGCAAGGGATAAACCCTCCCACTGCTTGAGATCCTGGCCAGCCCGTGAGCCCATCTCTCAGGCAAGCACACAGCCTCGTAAGACATCCTTCATCTGAAATATTTGGGCTAGTCTGATCTCCCCTAAGCTGATACAGGCAAAAACCAGCCTCTCTGGCTAGGCAACACAGAAAAACAGAGCAAACCAAGAGAAAGAGGATGGCTTCTGTGCCTTGAAGATCAACAAGCTCCTCTAACATTGATCTGGATGTTACACTGACATAGGCATGCCAGGCATCATCCGCATGGAGTTACGAGACACAGTCAGAAGGGCACATCCAGTTCGAGACAGTGGGGATAGGGAGTACCAGTTACATCAGGGTGCAGGAGAACTGTGGAGATTTGCACCTGGCAGCTCTCTACCTGAATTTTCTGTAGACCACAGAGCTGGAAGACGCAGTCCAGCTCCTCCTGCTTGTACACAGAGGCAAGCAGAGACTCCACTTGGTCCAGGCGGCTCTCTTTCAGGATGGCCACATCATCCATCTCCTGCATCAGGAAAACAAGAGCAAACACAAGGAAATGTCAGTATCAGCCTGGGCATGGAGGTGCAACTGCCCATCAAACATGCTGCTTCTCTGCACACAGCAATGCCCAGGCCTGGCCTGCACCCTTGACACTTGGCTTGTGGAAATGCTGCATGCCCTAATGGAAGTACTACAGAGTACAAGTAACAGAAATACAGAGATTTTACACACTTGCCTTGTGCATATCAATAGGAAGACCTAGCTAAACATCCCCTGTGCGCATCTACCGTGAAAACTGTGCTATAATGGGATTTCCAGCAGAGCAGATAGCAGCAACAGCCAGTATCACAACCACCTGTAGCACAAGTGGTGTGTCAAGGAGGGAGCAAGTTTTGCAAAGGCATAGCTGGAGCAAGCTCTTAGTTGCCATGAGTGCCAAGTTAGCCCCCCACCATCTACAGAACTGGTAATTCCTGC